TAAGTTCTTTTACACAATCTAGCACACATTGTGACCTGATTGTGTACGATTCTAATGCCTTTATTGTGGCTTCATCTCCGGTTACGATGGTAATGTGCTTACGTATGTAGGCTCTTTCCTTCATTTTCCGGACCCAATTTCTTATTGCTAGGATGTTTGCTTGGAAAGCTGTCGTAGTTGTACCCAGGTTTAAGGTGATCCTTTTCCCAGTTCTTCCTCTTTCAACTATACCAGCGCCTGTACCCGACGCTGTTTTTATGCCCTCCGTGTACCATACGGAGTCCCCTGTGATGGCTGATGGAGTCTCCACCATCTCTCCCCTCGTTTGGAACATATGTTCTAAAAGGTACCGGGATGCTTAGAGCTTTGATTCGATCAGCTTTTGATCCCATGGGTTCGACTGTCTTCAATTTTCTGAAGATGTGCCCAAATCCGTTGCTTTCCTGAGGACATCGTCACCCATATGGTAAGCGCTTCTTAGGGCCTCAGCTTCAATGGATAAATGCAACGGCTCCAGCCCCAGGAGTGTCTCCATAGCAGCCGTCGGCGTCGTTAACATTGCTCCAGTTATTCTCAGAAACGCCAGCCTCTGAACATTGTTTAGGGACTGTCGATATGTGCTGATTTTGGTTCTATGCCATATGACGGCGGAATATGTGATTATGGGTTTCACAATGGTGACGTACGTCCAGTACACCATCTTCGGTGAAATGCCCCATGTTTTTCCAAAAGTGCGGACACCCGCCGGCTACCCGTGCGTCTATGCTGACTTCATTGAGTGCGACAGTAACCGTTCTGCAACTCAAATCTTGTAGCATTTATAGTGTTTGCGAAAAAAATATTTCTATTTGCTCGCCACTTAACAATGTTAGACATTAACTGAAAATCAACTTGTCCAAAATGGATAAACTCGATTGATTCATCAAAATATGAGTCTTATATGAGGAAAAATTCAAAGCCAGTTTCACTAAAATACATCGTACTATTCTCCCGATGTTTCAAAAAATATTTTTTTTTCGAAGAACTTTTTTTGTTAATAAAAGTTAGGTCAGATGGTCTTCTTTTGATGCCATCCAAGTACTAACCGCGCCCGACGTCGCTTAACTTCGGTGATCGGACGAGAACCGATATTATTCAACGCGGTATGGTCGTTGCCTAAAAGTATATGCTCAAACGCGGGTTTTATACGTTCAGTATTTAGGCTGTGGTTAATATTCTTCAACGAGAGGTTCTACATATTGCTCTTCTTGGGTTTGTGTAAACTCTTCATCTTGAGTTTCTGTATTTTTAGTCGTAATTTCTTATTTGCTTTGCATGTATAATCTTTGACGTCAGTTGATGAAAGCTGCTTTGAGTTGATCTATTACTGAATGCTAATTTTTTAGCCCGAAATCGTTTTTGGCGTTCAAACCATTACTTAATACTTTTCGCTGCTTCAACTTCTATCTGGATAGAACTAAAAAATCAATTAATTTTGGTGATTTGAAGACGTTCTATCTGTTTAAAATATACGGTAAAACGAGGAAGAGCTATAGAGA